GCTCAAACCCTTTAGTGGAACATAATAATGGAGACACGAGTCACCATTTTTAGCTGATATGCCATATGAACATTGACATGCAACAGTTTTTACAAAATGTAGCCACACCCATGACTCGTTTGATGTGGTGCTAATTGTTTTGGAGCCAAATTTGATTACAAGTTCAGAAAATCCAAACGTGATTGTGCCATCGCCATTAGGGTTGACCGAGTCCATGGTTCTGGAAATGTGTACGCAGGCAGTCTGTCCCTGATAACTGATAACACTTTTCTCCTTAAACAATCAGCACAATTGTGAGACCGGTAACTTCTTGGTTGGATCAGAGGATAACGGCTAAACCGACTGAACTGAACCTGAGAGTGCAGCCCTAATGATCAGACATCAGGTGGTGGGGACGTCCCCAGATGTTTAAAATCAGTATTTCTAACAGTGAGGATATAAAATCAAATATGCCACAGCAGTTTTGGGGGATTCTCAGCTGGCACGAGGTTCAATTTTAAGTAGTTTTGAATACAAACAAATGTTGAACACTAAATGAAATTGTATATAATATGCAGAGTCAATGCTGGGGTCAGATTTGGTAATGCTATTAGCCTTCAGGCATAAGTCTTTCTTGTAGACAGTCTGACCCTGTCATTGGCTAAAGCTTTAGCAGACCACCTTAGCATGATGCAGACACTGGGTTTCATTACTTTTAGAAGTTAGATGATGAAAGACATCTTTCCAAAACAAAGATAAGAAGCCCAATGGCACCAGCCACCTCCTGCTCCACCCTCCATCTGTCCAACTTTTAACTTCTTCTCTCCTTCTGATCTTTCTGTGCAGGCAAACTTGGCAGACTTTGACGGGCAGGTGACTGAGCCAATGATAGACTTACAGGACCTTTAACGAGCGCCTGCTGGGTCCTCCAGTCCGATTTACGAGGGCGTGTGCACCGCACGGATGAGCCCGTGAACCCGGATGAGCACCATCGCTGCGATAAACCCTGTAAGAAGAGGACGGCCCCCCTCCCTGGTAAAGAGTTAAGCTGCTGCTCAGTGTGACACTGCTGGCACCGACTGTGGTCGCCTTTAATTTAGTTTACATAATCACATTTAACTCTATTGTCTTAAAGTAATCCAGTCATATGAAACTGACAGCTACTCCACATCAGCACACACGCAGTTATATATACGCTGTCTTTTTTTTCCTGACCACATGGAATGAAATGGTATGAAAACACAACCTACATGGTTTTGAATGAGGGTGGGCATTTAAAATTCAGGACAGTGAGACGTTTCTGGAGGAGAGGCAGGCTGCAGATTTACATTATCTATAAAAATGTAAGTATTCCAACTTTTTTTCTTCTCATGCAGCTTGCTTTGTGATTAAAAAGAAGGACAGCTTTGTGTTTATTTCAGTCACAGGTCAGAATCTCTGTATTCTCCTCAATAAATTCACGCATTCTCAGAATTTGTAGGATTTTCTAAGGATGATGATACTTCGTCAGCCTCCGTTTACGGTCATCTCCTTCTCCAGTTGTGAGCCGCTTCCTACTCGTCTGCTATTTTAAGGTTGCTTGTTGGAAGTCAAATGTAATTAAATGTACACAAATTTACAGATGTGAAACATTTTTAGACAGTGTTCCAGTGCCCGTCTAACAAACAGCGCTCCAGGTTGCTATCCACACCTGCTCTCCATGATCACAGGCACTGGGATACAGCTCTTGGTGGAGGAATCCACTCAAGGAAGTCCTTTGACAATTATGGATGCCATGCACATTCTGCAATTATACTGAACTAAACCGTACGGACCACTGGCCCTTACATCCAATAAAACCTTGGAATGGCTGTTTTCACACCGACTGAGACTGGAGGTCATAGACAAACTTGAACCCCTGCAGTTTGCATCCATACTGTCGTTTACATGCTTCACCGAGCCCTAGCTCATGTGGAGGAATCTGGCACCTGTGTGAGAGTTATGCGCTTTCAATACCATCCAGTCAAACTTGGACGAAGACAAGCTCACAGAGATCGACGTAGATCCCTCATTTGTTTGCTGGATCACAGACTAGCTGACAGAAACAGTTTGTCAGGTTGGGGAGCTGAGTTTCTGGGGCATTAATGAGCAACACGGGGGCTCCACAGGAGAGCTTTTCACATTGTATACAGCTCTGAGTACTGTAACATCCAAGAATACTCGGATAACACCGCCACTGTGGTGTGTCTGAATATAGGGATCACAAAAACGACCTCATATTGAACACCTCAGAGACGAAGGAAATGATAGATTAGTGATTCAGGCCTCCCCGCCATCCTGTGAAAGTTTGGGTGGGGTGGACAAAGAGGTAGTAACAAAATATAAATATCTAGGCTTACACCTAGGTAGCAAACTAGATTGGTCCGAAATACAGACAAGCTAAGCTAAAAGGGGCACAGTTAGGTCAAGTTTATTTATATAGCACATTTCCAAACAGTCCACAGCTCCACAGAGTGCTTAACAATGCAAAATGCCTCTAAAGCAAATAAAAGTAAAACAATGATGCAGTAAAATATAGAAAAAAATAAATAAGTCAATAAAAACAACTAAAACAACAACTAAGGCTGTTAAAACCAAAATGTTAATGTTAAGTGTGTTAAAAGCCAGACCGACAAACGATTTAAAATTTGTGCAGATCCAAAATTTAGGGGAAGCCACAGAGAAGGCTCTGTCGCCACATGGAGTGGATAACATTAGTTTTGAACTGGACCTCACGGTTTTCTCTGGAGCACAAATAAATAGGAGCTCAGACCAGTAAGAAGGGGCTCAAAAAGTAAGAGTTTAAATTGGATCCTGCAAGTTGCTTCTTTTTGTTAAGAAAACTAAGATTTCTTGTGCTGTTCTATGCTGCAGTCTGCTGGGGAGGAAGAATCAGAAACAAGGATGCAAGGAGACTGAACGACTAGTGAGGAAAGCTGGCTCTGTAACTGGAGCCTGACTGGACACACTGGGGGAGGTGGCTGAAAGATGCACAATAAAGATGTTGGAACATCCGGAACAGCTTTGGTGACCTACTTTATAACATCCTTACGGAACAAAAAAACAAAAAAACCTACCTCTGCATTGCAAAACGCAGATACAGAAAATCATTCGCACCCAAAGCCATCAGGCTTTTCAAGTCTCATTCAAATAGCAGGTGAGCCAAGTCAGACGCGAATTTCTCTCTGGCATCAATGAAGTTATTCTTATTCATATTTACATTGACAAACAGTGCAGTCCCTCCACATTTCTGTGAATCCTGAAACCAGGTGCAGTGTGAGTGTCTCTGACTATCGCCTGTAGAGCAATAATGATAATAAGGATGAGCTTTGTGAATTCATTAAAATCGAACCATGTGAGCAGAGCTGATGTTAACGCTCTCTGCACGTTAGCGACGTAAAATACTGGAGTGAGAGACTCGGTGATCCGTACTGTAGAAGCTGTACTGGAAGCAAAAGGTGCTCAACATGATGGCAATGAAACCGGCTGCATTTAAACCATGTAAACCATCAGATGTTTAAAGAACTCAGAACTTGATGAGCTTCACGCTCACACTTCCTACTGAGTTGCTGAGCAGTTCGCTTCTTTTGGACGTTGCAGAAAATCTGTTGGAAATATGTGATTGTGTCTGAGAGTCTCGTGTTTGTGGAAATGTTCTGTGTTAGGAATAAGAAGCTACGATACTGGCATTTCAGCTGGAACTGTACTAATAACTCATATCTGCTTGTGGAAGAAGGAATAGCCCACAGAGAGTAATAAAGAATAAAGTTATGACTTGCTGGAGAGTTTAACTCTGAGACTGCTGGAGGAAAGCGTCCTCTATCCACTGCTACATTTGCATATTTCACTTTATCGTATTCTAAAAATAATGGAGCCGAGCTCAGCGTTTGCAGAGCGTTGTTACTGATTTCAGTGCTGCAGAAGTCATTTGTTCACTTATTGTGTGCAGTTATTTTTGTGTTATTCCAATAAGGATTCATTGTAACTATGAAATGAAACGATAACAGGAGTTGCAAAGTCGTGCAATATTAACAGGATGAAAAGTTGAGTTACCGTTGCCCTTCTCGCTGTTTCGTTTTCAGCTGAAGTTTCTACCCACTGGAGAATGTGGAAATCAATGAACCAGTGCAGACACAAACCCGCTGTATGTTACCTTGACATCAAACATGACATCAGACGGTTTACTCCACTGGGTTAAAAAAGGAGGTAGATAAATGAGTTTTATGCAGCGGATGACAGTCCTGCTTTCCTGCAAGATGCATTTAAAACGGTTTAAAAGACTTAAAAAAATAATCCAGAAAACAAGATTTAAAAGTCATTTTTAAAGGTTAACGCTCATCAATCTGTGGCAAGTTGGGTTCAGCAGCCCGAGGGTGACCGCACTGAAGGGAATTACACAAACTGGTAATAGAAGAAAACATTACAAAGAGCTCGCAATTAAAGTGCATGTGTGTTTGTTCGAGAGCGCGGTGCAGAGAAACACTGACTTAGGCTAATGCAGCCTTAATAGCCACATTAGTTTCTTGCTCCGGCTGAATCGTTTGAAGCAACTTGGACAAGCAAATAGGTCCATTAGGTAGCTATAGATCTCATAGCACACGCTGAAATGGGCCCCTGAGTACAGCAAACCTGCACTCACCTGCACACTTCACTTCTTCTGTTCTCACAAAATGCAAGATGCACAACAACGTGCAGATGCAGTTTGTTTCTCTGATTAATTAACACACACAAGCACGCACACAGAGTCGCATCTTTTCCCACTGCCACTCCGCGTGTCGTTGACGGCTTTTCTATCACAACTAATTTGCTGCTGCCGCATTCACCGCTGCAGTGACAGGACTTCCCTAATGAGACAGAGTGCTCACAGTAATGGCAGGTGTGGACCTTGAATCAGAATTACAGTAATGAGATGAGCAGGCCTAATGGTCACAAGCAGAATAATAAGAAGCACAGACACAGGATGAGAGCAGCAATAATGAGAGTGAAGGCTGTGAGACGAGTCGGGAAAACAACAGAGCCACGGCAGGAGAAGGTGGCTGCTGTTGTTTTTGGGGACGTCATCTCAAGATTTTACACATCTGAAGCTTTTCTTTACTGAATATTCAACTCTGTCTGATTATGTAACGTGAAAAAAAAAAGTTTTGAAGTTTAAGTTTAGTCATGAAAGCGTGGCCTACATACTGAAGAGGCTTCCCTCTCCACCTCTCACTTGTTTGTGCTGTCGAGCTCTGCTGTGTGACAAGATAACGGCCTCATAAATAGTCATCATTAGCAGTGAAGCTTCCGTGTTCGAGCCGATACCTGCAGAGCAGTTTGCGCTCAGTTACCACGTGAATGCAACAGTTTGGCATTAGTGTGACAGCGAAAGTTTTTCTTAAATCATTACTATAGTTATTTCCCACCGTTATGCAAATTCCCCTCGGTGCTGGAATGAGCTGCAGACTGCAGAATCCCTCGTTAGCTTCGTATGCTAGTCTCATCACGTGCTGTCTGACTAAACAGGTTTGTGAATGCGTGTTGCTGGTTACGCATCACATTCGTTTATGGGCAGATGTATCCCAGTTTGGGCTCGGAACAGGAAACTCAACAATCTTTTGCCATTTTCAGTGCAAAATGTTAGCATTCTGTGCAACCCAATATTACAGCAAAGCATATAATAGACCCACTGGTCCATCATGTGGGTGTCATGCTTTACCTCCCATAAGCGTGAAATGTTTAAGTTGCAGCAGAGAGCTACAGTGAATTAAAACCAACCAAGTCGTTATTGACCCTTTATGCCAGGTAAGGTTAAGCTAGATTGCTGATCTGTATTGGGGAATGTTTCTTTGAAAGCTAAGGAGCTTGGAAAGAAAAGCGTCTGGACTTCTTTAAGTAGCTTGAAGACGTTTCACCTCTCATCCGAGAAGCTTCTTCAGTTCTAAGGTCAAACCCAGTGGGAGTTTCCCCCCCAAAAGAGGGACAAAAGCTGGCTTTCTTTGAAAGCCCGTTGCTGTTTTTATGTTGGCTTTGAATTATCG